ACACCTGCGATGCACTGAAATTTAAGCTTTAATTCGTGACTAGTAGGGTGCAGCAGGTCGGGTGTGAGGACAAATACTCGCCGAAGACACTGGCTAGGGGTCGCGCTATGTCGTGAGTTGGAAGAAGTTAGAATTCATGGGCTGGCCATTGGATAGGGTCCAAGTGGCTGCTTGATTGTCTACGAGCTAGCTCGCCTTGTAGCCAGAAGGTCCTGGGTTCGAACCCCGTGGTGTGAGTGCGTACTGACGAAGGGTCCCAAACTAGGACGAAACAGTTGACTACCCAGTACTCCGTGTTGATTTTCCAATTGTTCTCTAACTGATGTCAGCTCATGATGAAATCCTGTAACCAGTCAAATTCCTACAAACCAACACTGGAAAACAGACATCCTTGGAATACTGAAAAATGGTGTATATATCTTCTAATCGACAGTAGAAACACACACACACTCTCTCTCAAATTGTTACTAACATTTTGTCACTACCGAAATCCTGAACATTTGATTAACTTAAATCTATATGTCCTCTGTCTGCATTGCATACCATACATAGTATTTTCAATATAGTAAAATCTCAGTTGTGAATGCTGATTAAACCAATTATAAAAACTTGTAAATAATATTCCTTGTAAAACAAAATCAGATAACTTTTACTGGATGAACATAATAAAGATCGGTATTTTGTCGGAAAATCTGAAGTCGAAACGGTAATTCCCACTTCATTAAATTTAGCTGATAGTCAAATGCAAAAGGAAACTCATTATGTAATCCACCGAAGTTCAGATAATACTTTTTTTCAAGTGTTGGTTTGTAGGGGTTTGATAGATTTTTAGGTAAGATTACCTCACGAACCAACATCTATTGGAGAAGCAGTGAATATCAGGACTGTTATGGATCATAGGACTCAGTACTACTATCTGAATGGTAAGGTGCTCACCTTATAACCAAAAGGTTCCTAGATCCATCCCCGGTGGAGTTATGGGTGTTTGCAGGTGAAGAGTCTCAAACTAGGATGAAATAGTTGTTCAGTACTCTAACCTCCACGGGATCATGGTGGAATGCCATACATCTTCTCTATATTGTCGTAGTCATCATGTTTCCTACTATTAAGGATTAAGATTGTTTAAAACATTATTTATTCGACTGAGTTAGCTTATTCACACCACCTATCCATATTACACGTATATGAGATTGTCAAACTTCTGTAAAACTAAAAGTTTGCTTAACACTCAATGATCACGTAACATTACCTTTCTTTTTCATTGTATATAACTTGATGGGGATCTCGATCATTTGAAAGGTATTTATATAGAAAATTTGAAATGAAAGTAATTTTTCATAAATTTTAAAATTTTATATAAAATAGATAAATAGTGCCACATTGGTTTATCGATTATTAATCGATGCGAAAGTATTCACTTGCCTGACCTCCTCTTGAATAATCCATAACCTTCATGTCTTCATTTGTGAGTATTTTGTAGCCACTTACCTTAATCAGTATTTAGTAATCAATAATTTAAATAAGTTTGACGATGTAAATGTTCATGATATATGATATAGCCTATACTCCGTAGAATAATCTTAATGAATAGTAATTCAGATTGAAAATCATAAGATTAAAACCATTGCTGTTTAGATCACTGATTTGGCTTCCAGCTGAGCTACCCACTAGGCATGACTATTACGTTGCAACCTAACCTCGTTTACCGTGTTCTTTGTTTTGTTAACCAAGTGGAAAGAATTATGTAACATTGTACATTATCTCTGTGTTTATTCAAGTAGAAATATATTTAGGAAATCCGGATTAATCAGTGTAGTTATCCACACCAATGCATGCTGATTGAAACCCGTCTACTACATAGACATAATCGCGTCGTTAAGCCAAATAAACCGATACTACTGTGTATTATGGTGTATTGTGATTTGACAGTGCATTTCAGGTATGATGGGTCTGGAGCAGCCTGTGAATTCAAGCCTAGCAATTGTTTGTACTCGTACGTGCAACTTTGAAAAGACAACTGTTACTTAAGTGTTTTAAACCTACATCATGAATTTTTCGGAATTTTGTCAAGTAAAACTACGGTCTCATAGTATTATATATTTATTCCCTTATGTTCCCACTGGAACACAGGGCTTCAAGCTAGAGGCTGTATTGCCAACGCGCAAATAGTACTATATACATAAATTTTTTCCAGTATCGGTTTGTAGAGATTTTGTTTAATTGGTTGGAGGATTTCATCATGAGCTGACATTGGTTAGAGAACCATTGGAAAATCAACACGGAGTACTGCCAAACAGCCGTTTCGACATAGTTTGCGACTCTTCGTCAGTACGCACTCACACCACGGGGTTCGAACCCAGGACCTTCTGGCTACAAGGTGAGCTAGCTCGTAGACCATTAAGCAGCCATTCCATTATGGGTAAATTTTGTTTGATAAAGTCTCACAGCGTTATACAGTAATGTTTACTGATGACGTTTCGAGCACAATTTATTGCTCATAATCATATCAAGGTAATCACACGACTTCCTAAATTCATTTATATAGTTCCATTGTTTTTCTCTTGATTTTCACTTGATTTGATTGGTAATAGTATTTTCCATATTTCAGGTATGAGTGACGAGTCTTTCCTATTGCATGTGTTGGGTGTAGACTCGACGAACAAGGATTCAGTAATCAACCTCTCTCGCTCTCCACCTACCTAGATTACTTTTTAGAATTTTAACCCTCTCCCACCCAATTGTGTGGTTGTGTGTTAGCGCATGCATTGCAATTGCTGAGCTTTTTTCTAAATTACTTATCTTCTCGGGGTCAACCATTCTTACCTTAGCTAAATTCTTATGTTCTGACAATCTGACTACCCCTGACCTACTGGTTTGACCTATGTAGTTGACCTCACAGTCATTGCATGGTATTTTGTAAATAATATTATTTTGTCTAATTGGGTCAACAGGGTCCTTTAACCTACAGAGCTTGTCCCTGAGTGAGTTTGTAGATTTAATGCCACCCTAATTCCTACTTTATTCAGAATCCTACGTAGTGTCTCAGATGTCCCCTCTTTATATGGTATAACTGTGGATGGCTTATATTCTTTCTTATTTATGTTATTATTACTAGTCTCACAATTATTTTTATTTTGTTTTTGGCCTTTAATGATCTTCCTAATGAATTTTATAGGATAGTTATTCAACACCAACGCTTCTTCTATCTGTTTTAATTCATCATTTAGATCTTTTTTTGTGCTACAATTAGACAAAATAATATTATTTACAAAATACCATGCAATGACTGTGAGGTCAACTACATAGGTCAAACTAGTAGGTCAGGGGTAGTCAGATTGTCAGAGCATAAAAATTTAGCTAAGGTAAGAATGGTTGACCCCGAGAAGATAAGTAATTTAGAAAAAAGCTCAGCAATTGCAATGCATGCGCTAACACACAACCACACAATTGGGTGGGAGAGGGTTAAAATTCTAAAAAGTAATCTAGGTAGGTGGAGAGCGAGAGAGGTTGATTACTGAATCCTTGTTCGTCGAGTCTACACCCAACACATGCAATAGGAAAGACTCGTCACTCATACCTGAAATATGGAAAATACTATTACCAATCAAATCAAGTGAAAATCAAGAGAAAAACAATGGAACTATATAAATGAATTTAGGAAGTCGTGTGATTACCTTGATATGATTATGAGCAATAAATTGTGCTCGAAACGTCATCAGTAAACATTACTGTATAACGCTGTGAGGCTTTATCAAACAAAATTTACCCATAATGGAATTACACTCTACCTTAGTGCACAAGTTTTATTCTTATATCATTAAGCAGCCACTTGGACCCTATCCAATGGCCAGCCCATGAATTCTAACTTCTGCCAATCTACGACATGGCGTGGCCATTAACAAGGTGAGTTGGAGTACCTGCGTTCGGACGCTGGTGGGTACCTGCTATGAAGAGTCTCAAACTAGACGAAACAGCTGTTTTGCAGTACTGCCTGGTTTTCCAATGGTTCTCTAACTGATGTCAGCTCATGATGAAATCCTCCGACTAATATATATATATATGTATATATACTGATGAAAAAATACCATGGGATCAGTTACTTAATGTGAATTACAGTGAAGCTAATCCTCTGAAACGTCTTTTATATTCTCTCCCACTAGAAGCCAATTTAAAATAATCTGGTTAATATACTTTTGTTTCATTGTTATCTTCAGTTAGCTATCACCTTTTAAATTTGACTTTATACGTCATTTGAGATGCAACACACCCGTTCGACATCTAATCTAGTATGTCCTCTCCGATTCTTATTGTTAGGTAGAAGAATTCTTAGCAAATGAGTTCTTTTGACTCTATAGATAAAAACTTAATTCATCTGATTTCACCTTAATACAGATACCTTTACTTCAACAAATCAATTTGTTTATTGTTCAGCTGATTGACTGACATCAAAGCGTGATATAATTTGTGCTAACTCATAAACAGAATAATTGTTTTCACTTAATTTATTGTCAAATGAAGGTAAACATTATAAGTTCTTCAATGTCAGTTGTGGTATATTTTCAAACTATAGTGAAACAAATAATAATAACAACAACAATGAACTGAGATGTACATGTGTTTTTAGATTGTGTTAGGCATCATCGTTCGTTAAACACTGTAAGGAGTTAATTAAACTCTAAGCTTATGGATTTCCACTTGACTGCTTGACATATTCAAGCGGTCAAACCAAAAATAAGGGCTATATAAACTTTAGCCGATTAATTGCCTCTCCCTTGAATTCATTATCAGTTCATCCATACGAAGTCATCAGGACATAAGCATTTCAGTAAGTCAACGGACAGAAGAAAAGAAAGTGGAAAAAACAGCCTTTTTGTTATTGTTCCTTTCAGTGTCAGTGTTACTAGTATATTATTTTAGAAGTGAAAAAAATTGTACTGCACAGACATATTGTAAATAAGATTAAGAATTTTAGTGTTTTACTTTTCTGCCTATCTTTTCAGATCCGAAAACGCCAAGTTCAAATGGATTCAGGTAAGCTGAATGAAAAGTCTTTTCTATGAGCATTCTTATTACTCCTTTGGGTTCCAAGAAGAACGTACAACTTCAACAACACATCCACATTCCACCCTCATCGCTACAATCCTCTTCAGCTCGACCCACAATTACTCTTCAACTTACCCAACTCAACTCTCATCTCCTCCTACTCCTCCTCCTCCACCACCACCAAGACCTCACCCAACCCCACCCCCACCCCACACTTCACACGATCTCCTCCATCTCACATTCACACACACACACACAACACACACACACACAAGTCGTCACTCCCCATTCTGCCTCCACTCGACGACCTGACATGAGAAATCAACCAACCGTCACTCATCTTCAGTTTCTCCACAATAGTATCTGCTCAGAATTAGCTTCTTGGCGGGCTGGCTGGCTGGCTGGCTGGTTGGTTGGTTGGTTGGTCGGTCCTCTACCAGAGATACCTGTTGCTAATTCTCTCCGACTAGGCATGTGATGTTCAGTATGGAGTCAGCGAAGCTGACAGCTATTGATAAGAGTCTTCAGTAGTCTGTTGGAAATGCTTTTTGTGACGCTGACTGCAAAGTCCTGACACATGTAGAAGAATTGACTTGACTGACTTCACACTGGTGTTGGAAATCCGAATTTTGTGATTATGGTGTGGAGTGTGGAAGATTTGCATAATGATTTCAGAGTGATGACCGTCTGTTTTGCCTTTGTGATTGTGACTTTAACATGTTTATGCATGCTGGTGCCTGTGGTTGGTACGATGTTGCGTAGACGAGTGAGGGAATCAACTTCCTTCGAATTTCTGCTGTTATCGTTGTTTGTCGAAATCTATCTACAACCACAATAATTGATTCACGAAGATGTTGAAAGTGGATCTAGTGTTAATTTAGATGTTTCAACAATAACCCCATCAAAACTGTTTAACTAATGATGAGGTAATCCACTCTTTACCTAAGAATATGTAGTAATTTTTGTTTTTAGAATATTTTAAACTTACTTTCCATTTTTATCATTTGGTCACAGATAGTTTCCCCATCAAAGCATTATATCATTACTACTAAAACTGATGGTTAAAACGAATAGCAATAAGATTCAACAACTTACTAAATAAAGTTTGAAAAATAGTGTGATCTTTCTTCTTTTAGCACTCCATTCCATTTATTCACAAGTTAATCTGCAATTTCATCCTGAGTTGTTTTTTTTTTAATCTTTACCCAGAGTCAGATTTAAGATTTAGGTGGTTATGAATCAGTGCTTGGTTAAGGTTACAGTCAGTGGGATCATACTTACTTTTATTCATGTATTCGCCTCGATTATGTGTTTCTAATTATTGATGTGTTATTATCATGCTGCTACTCTGATTGATTTCTCAGTGTCACTTAGCAAGACGTTGAGTATACTTAGTATTCTTTATAGTTAATTACCCTAAAACTAATCACCTATGGTGTTATAAACTCATCAACACTTAAATACATAGTTTAAGTCACGGTGTTTTCTGACTACTCAGCTGGTAAAAACTCAATTCGTTGAAACAGTGAATGTGCTGTGCATTACACCTTGCTTTAAGGATAAAAAATAAGTCTTTTCTTCATTTTGCGAACAGTGGCAATATATAATATACTGTATGAGATTTTAATACTCATATGTTAAATTATTGAGGAAAAAGAGAATAGACTTTGATTTTCATTAATACTGTCACGCATCACTTATGTTTCACCTGTTGATGATCAATATCCTACTGTGAATGACGTCAAAAAGTATGTTAGTGCATTATTCAAATATATGCTGGAGTAAATGTGTTTTAATTTTAGTTTATTCATAATCTTATATGTTTGATTAGAAATATAAAGTACACTGTCAGATCATATTGTCCAAACTTGAGTTATCGTGTCTCTGAGTATACTGTATGGTTTTTTGGGTAGATATGTGACCGAATCGGCATCTAAATTATTTGGCTGTTAGTATCTTTAATGTGAACATAGATTCTTTGAAGCTGGAACTTTGTTAAACCTCATTTTGTTTGACAATTTTAGGTTTGTCCTAAGCTAACCAAAGACGCACGATTATAAACAAAATAAAATTTGGACATATTTACTCTCAGGTGTTTAAACCGCCTGGCTTCATTGTGTCAACTAAATAGATCGGCTTAGCACCATATACAACTGCCTAAACTAGAATACCACATGTTTGTTGGCTGACCGTGTGAAACATGTTACTGAGTCATAACAAAATACATAGGAATATGAGTGGACTAGCGTTTGAACCTATTTCTTCTGATGTATGTGAATAGCCTAGCAACGCCAGCGGCTCACTGGCATCGGTGACACAGTGGTTAGGACTTTCGCCGGCCATGCACATGGTCCGAGGTTCAACTCCCTGTCGACGCACACCGATATCTATGGTCGGCCTGCGAAATTTGGGCTACCGATATCGTTGGCTGAAAACTCCATACTTGTACGACAAATACACTGTGGAATCAAGCTGTAATCAAAAATAAAATAAATACAGGACAAAGTTGGATGGGTTTCTGGTGAGAAGTAGTGACCAATCGAGTCCACCAGGTCGGAAGTGAGGACATATAATCGCCGATGACACTGTCTCATGGTCTTCCTAAAATCCGGAATTGGTAGGAGTTAGAGTTCATGCGTAATTGAGTCAGATTTCAGTGACTGAAAGGTTCACGTGCTTGCCTTATACACAAAAGGTGTTTGGTCCGAGCCCAAGTGGATACGTACTGATGAGGAGTTCCAAACTAGGACGAAAGAGCAGTCTGGCAGAACTCCGTGGTTTTCAACGGTCCTCTAACTGTTATCTATCAATGATCAGACTTATTTTTTTATTACTTCTGGTCAAATATGAATTGGCTCATTATTGAGATCAATTAATCGTAGTAACTAGTGATGAAATAAATCTGTATTGGAATGTGTCAAGTTTGCTGAATTAGAAGACAGTTCAAATTGCGGGGATATGTTGGTAAGTTGTAGAAAAGTGAGAGATTACATGCAAATACTAGTGATAATTTATCTTTGAATATAGTCTGTGAGTAGGAACAGAAAGCAAAGTGTTAACATTGGTGATTATTCGACGTATCAATAGGCAATATTAAAGATGAATAATAACGAATTTTCCTGTTCTTGTGACTTACTGAGCTACCTTAAATACTTGACGGTATACAGCTGTGAGGAAGACGAGTAGTCAGTTTTTCGAACGTCACTCACTAATTAATACTGTATAACTATTTGATATATTGAAAAAAGAACTAATACAGAATGACACGCCACCACAATACCCAAGTTCCACATTAAGCTTAAATCATGAAGACAGTAGATTAAAGATATAAATGGGCGATGTATGAGAAAATCAACTTGTTTACGAGTAAAGTAATGTATTGTTCTAATGGGAGGGAGGGGTGTGATAAGCAGACGCACCTGTATACTTCACTTCTCGTCTAAGTTTCCTACTTCAAAGATAACATTTCTGAATGGCAAATATGCCGAAAAGTATATTCTGCTATTATTAATCATATGACCCGTATCCACATGATGACTAACTGGAGGTTCCATTTAACTTCAAAATATGCTTTGTTGTATTCCCAGTGATTTGCTCTAGTAACTGAAATGTTTAGTCAGGCTTAATTTCCACTTCAGACTTGGAGTATTTTGCTAAGAAGCTATTCTACGAATAAGGAATACTGATCGTTTCGATAATCAAATAAATAAATAAATCCGATACAAAGAGGTTGGACTCTGGATGACTGAATTTTTCGAAGTAAACCTTCAGATAGTAGTAATAAGGCCTTGTACAACATTGTACCACCGAGTAGTGGAATAAATCCTTCCCCTTTCAGGAAATTAACTATGATTAGTAGCTAAGATTATCGAGAAGGTATGCAGTGTAACTGAGTTCTAAAGCTGGCAGATGACAATACAGTGACACCTTAAAAAAAACGTACCACTAAATGAATTGTTAGAAATAAAAATCAAACGACTGTCAGGAAACTGTAATGAATGAAATAAAATTTTCACTTACAACAGCGTTCTATTCATCATTGAATATTCGGTTAGCGGAAGTTTTAAATGAGAGATAAACGATCAATACAAAAGAAAAACACGAATATTATCAATATGAAATACAACTAATCAACTGTTTAGTTTGGTGTAAGAAAACAAATATTCTAAGCAAATCAAAATAAATTTATTTACACATTGATTTATATAGCCAAACTTATATGATAAAGTGGTTATTAAATTATTCATAAAAAACTGGCAGGTGGTTTCGTCTAATGTGTGTGTGTGTGTGTGACAGTAACAATGAGACCAAGTAGAGAAAAATTCAGCTAAACTTCACCGAAAGCCTACCTACCATCACATGTAAACGCTATATGTTACATTCAGGTCTGCATTTGTCTAATTCCATAGTAATTCAAAACGATAGTTTCATATTATACTCCTGACTCACCAGCCAACACTAACATGAATCTATGAGTCTAGATTTTGTGTTCATCAAGATCGGTGAAATAGTACCGTCTTATCGAATTCTCAGTTTGTAGCTGACACAGTTCGATGAGGTGAAATTCCACCTCGAGTTTCATTTCAGATCACAGGCAAACTATAGAAACGGTCTTAGCTAGCAGGCCTTAATGGTTGAAAGCCATAAGGCATAATTAGTTCACGGAAATCCATTCCCATAATGAAAACTGGACACCTACAATGGTAACCATACAGTGTCCAGTTAATATATACTAGTCTTATTCTGTGAGTGGCTTAAATGTACAGTCTTTAACTTCCATAGGTTCGAACTAGAAACTGAAACACTAATTTTCTCAAGGTTTCGCCATGCTAATGACTATCAGTGAGCAGGAAAACTTCTTGTTAATTAAATTCGTATAATGTTTAAAATTAAATTGTACTCTAGTAAGTATAAATGTAGCGTCGTTTAACTTAGTGACCACATTCCATGCGTTTTATATCGATTTCGATAACTGCACATATACCACT